GCTGCTCGAACTCGCGCTTAGAATCTGTTGCAGAACCAAACCAGACGAGAGCTGCAGGCTTCGGGCTCTCGCTGAAGCACAGCAGGCTGAGCCAGCGAGCTCTTGGCGGAGAGCAGGGACGTGTCCGCGGACACGAGGGAAGCGCTCTGGGAGACGCAGGCAGTCGGAAGCCGGGAGAGCCAAGCGCCCCAGAAGCTGCCGAGGGCCGCTGGGAGCTGAGGGAGGGTCGGGAGCGGCCGTGTGTCCCTTGGGAGGGCTCGGGTTGAAGGGAGAGCGGAGGGGGGGAGGTAGGGGTGGGCAGGTGAGTCCCCGAGGTGGCAGGCGACGTTCTCAGCTCGCTCCCCCTGCGCTTACCTGGGCGTGGCATTTCCTTGGTTCTCGCGCTGGGCGTGCTGCATCCCGGACGTCCCTCGATCCTGACACACAGGAGGTTGCTCCCCTTGGGAGAGAGTCAGTGTTTTGCCCTGTGCGCAGGCAGTGGGGAGAATACATTGTTGTTTTTTTAGTATTGCTTTTTATTCAGCCATGGGTTCGGCTGATTAAAATGGGCATGAACTCCACGAGAACGCGTGTTAAATACGTACAGAGCCATTTTATTGCCTGGAGGGGGGCTATGGGGGAAACGCCAGACGCAGAGAAGGTAGCACACAGAACTTCCCTGGAGACTCTGCCCTCCCGCCTCGTTTTCCTGCTCAGGGATGGGCTTCACACGTCTTCGGGGCTGGCTTTGGCTGTGGTGAGAGCACAGACGTGACTCTGGCAAGGAGCTGGCCGGGAAAGGGGCAGCCTGGATGGGGGTGGGGGGTGTCTGCCCGAGCACAGTGTGCTTCTGAGCGAAGGTGGGACGTGCCCAGCCCCGGAGCACGGGGCTGGCTGCTGCCCCTCTGTGGCCCCGAAAGGACCCTCCAGCCTGCCTCCCCGCTAGCACTGGCCTTGGGACGTCTCGCGAGGCTGTGGGGCAGATGGGGGCGGGTGCTGGGCGGCAGCCCCCACCGCTCCTCCCGTGTGCCCTTGTAGGGGCCGCTCAGCCTGTGGTTGGCCCCCGCTCACGGGACCGGCCGATGGGGCGAGGACGCGGAGGCCCTCCCTGCGCGCGCGTCCCACGATGGGACCGGCAGGAAGCGCCCGCCCGCTTCCCCGTGGCCTGGACGCGCTGCTGTGCCCCGTCCCCCCGGACTGCAGGTCCTTCCTCCCACGCGGGTGTGACCCTGGCATCCTGCCGTGGCCCCCAGAGGGGAGCTGGGCGCATCTGTCTCCGCGGCGGCGTGGCCTCTCGCCCTTCCTTGCCCAGACCCTCTCCCGTTCCCCCGCAGCCTCCCGACACTTGGGCTCTTTTCTCTTCCATTTTCAGACACAAGTTTTTGCTTCGTGACGCGTGGGCGACGTTTCCCTCCTAAACTGTGGTGCTCAGCGTTAGTTCGGGTCCCCGCCGACCCCCGCCCGCCGTCCTTGGAGACACTCCTACTCTCTTTGCCCATTTTTACGTCAGGCTTGGCTTCTTCCTTCTTGTTACTCAGTTACGGGGTCTCCTGTTGGGGTTGTTAGCCCGTTACCGGCTGTGCCCCGCTGTAATCTCCATTCATTCCCTGTCGCCGTTTCACTGTGCTGTTCTCTTGGCTGTTTGGAGGGGGAAAGATAGTCTAGTTCGATCCTGTGCGCCTTGTTCACTCTCGTTTCTGTTCCTTTTCTGTTGTTATCGATTTCGTTTCCAAGAATGGTCAGCACTGGGCTGGACGATGGCCCTGAGCGCAGCCAGCCTGCGTTTGCCCCAGCACCCCACACGGTCAGCCCCGCGCCCCCAAGGCCCCCGGCACAGCTGAGAGGGGCCCAGAGTCCCAGAAAAAGGAGGAGGAGCCGCGTCGTGACAGTGTCCGCCGTCTTCTGTGCGGAGCCTTCAGTCTAGCGCGTCCATCTTTCTTGTCCTGAGTTGACTTTTGTGTAGCGGGTAACTTACGGGTTCAGTTTTATGTTTCGCCGTGTGAACTTCTGGTTTTCTTGGTGCCATTTGGTCAATTCTTCCCCTGCTCCTTGGTTGAGAGCTTGTTTCTGGGCTCTTGGGTTGCAGTGTCGTGTGTGTCTGTCCTGCCATGTTGAGTCGATAGCTGTCACACTGTCGACTGTTGCAAAATCAGGAATTTGGACCAGGGTCAGCTGCATTCGGGTGGTGTGAATCCTGCACCTTTTCCTATCTCAATCTACCTTGTTCAGTTATCTTTAAAAATTGGGCTAAGGGGCCGGAGCGATAGCACAGCAGGTAGGGCTTTTGCCTTGCAAGCGGCCAACATGGCCAACCCGAGTTCGATTCCTCCGCCCCTCTCGGAGAGCCCGGCAAGCTACCGAGAGTATCTCGCCCACACAGCAGAGCCTGGCAAGCCACCCGTGACGTATTCGATATGCCAAACATAGTAACGAGTCTCACAATGTTACTGGGCTCAAGCAAATCGATGAGCAACGGGAAGACGGTGACAGTGACAGCCATAGATATAACATAGAAATGACAGGGGTTGGCAGGGGGTGGGTGACACTCTTGGGATCAGCGACCGTCATCAGAGAGTTGAAGGCAAAACCACTGAGGTCTTACTTGAAAGCACCCACCTGACATGTCAGAGGTGACAGTGGGATGAAATCAAACCCAAGGCCAAATATCGCTGCTTGAAAGTCGTCATTGAGGGGCTTCTGGGACCCCGTGAGGCATCAGGACACAGAGGGGACCAGGCCCGCTGCCCTCGAGCTGAGCTCCTCAGCTGCGGGACACGTGTCACAGAGCCGAGGGTTGGGCTCGGGAACGACGGACCGCAGAGCACGGCTTCACACGGTGGCCCGCGGTCCCGAGTCAGCCAGGGGATGAGTTGCCCACGGTGCAATCCTGGTGTGCGGGGGTGATGGGTGGCAGCAGGCAAGGAGGCCCTGCCCAGCGGGGACCGGGTGCCCACGCGACCCAGACGCCCGGCCCTGCGGCTCTGCCGGGAAGGTCCTCGCTCTCTCCCCTGCCTCCCCCTCCCAGCTTGTCCTCTCGCTTTGAGGATGATCCTTGTCCCCTGCCCCGGTGCCTTCCCTGGGCCCACAGTGGCCACCAGACCCTCCTGGGCATCCTGCAGCCCCGGCCGGGGAAAGGGCCCGTACAGCCGAGGGTGGACAGAGCCACAGCCGAGCTTCGAAGGCGGCGGGAACCCCATGCAACTGTATTCGTGGGTGTTTCACTGCTTCGGACTTGGAATTTTCTTTCTTCTTGTTCTTTTTCATTTTAAGTAGGACTTGCTACGTTTTGTCATTGAGCTTTATGAGTGCTCTTTACGTCTTGGGAATGGTGTTGGGGAAAAACTGGACAGCCACAGGAAAAAAGAAATCCTTATCTCGCAGCATTCAGAAAATGTAATTTGAATTAAATTAGAGACCTCAGGATTTGACCCGAATCCGTTGAGGAGAACCTGCGCAGAACTGTCCAGGATTTGTCCAGGACCTCTGTGGTGTCTTGAGCGGTTTGATTCCAGTGGCACTGGAGTACTGTCCTCCCGTTGTTCATCGATTTGCTCAAGCAAGCACCGGTGACGTCTCCATTGTGAGACTTGTTGTGGCTGTTTTTGGCACATTGAACACGCCACGGGGAGCTTGCCAGGCTCTGCTGTGCGGGCAGGATACTCTCGGTAGCTTGCCGGGTTCTCCAAGAGGGGCGGAGGAATGGAACCCGGGTTGGAGGTGTGCAATCAAACGCCCTGCCCGCTGTGCTATCGCTCCAGCCTGGCCCCAGTAATCAGAACTTTAACCGTGGAAGTGAACTTTGAAGAGAATCCTGGTTCGGTGATTTTTATCTGGAACTTTGGAGCATAAAACTTTCCTATTCTTCCTTCGGAAATCTTTGATTTTGTACTGATTTGATGGTAGACATTAAGAATCTGGCATCCCGTTTTTTCCTTGCAACTGTGACGGGGATGTGTGCGGGTCAGAGGGCTCCTGCCTAAGGAACATTCCCAGCAGGCAGATGCCGGGTCGGCAGTCTCAAGGCTTGCAGTGAGGGGCTCCGGCTGAGGCTGCGGGTAGAGCTTTCTCTTTGCACTTGGCTGCTGATAACGCCTGAGCCAGACTCTCCACTGCATTCGGTGCCTTAAGGCCAGAGTTAGTTATGCGGAACGGCTCTCTTCTCTGTGCTCGGTCGGGTTCTGCCGTATGCATGGGCTGCAGTCTGTCTCGACCAGTGTCTGTTCGGAGCCACGGCACGTGGCACTGTCAGAGCATCGCCACATCCTCTGAAGAACTCGGGCAGCCAGGGAGCAGGGAGCCGTCACTGGCCATGCCCCCGGAGGCCAGCTGAGTTCTGGCCCGCATGCCAACCCCCCTGGGCATGTGGTCTCCTGGCCATTGCCCCGCTGAGTGTGGACGCGACCACACAGGGGCACTTGTGGGGTACCAGGGTTCATCGCCTGACTCTAGGAGAACCTTCCTTTCTTGCTGAACTTCTCTTCGCGTTTTGTATTAAAGGCAGGGGGGTCTGTACTGAGTTATATTCTAGTACCAGCAGAGTGCCCGCGGAACACTTTGTGTCCCGTGCCAGCCTCAGCATTTTATTTGTTTAGTTTTGGAGTTTTGGGGCCGCCCCAGCTGTGCTCAGGGCTTAACTCCGGACTCTGTGCTGAGGATCACGCTTGACAGTGCTCGGGGGACCCTGTGGGTGCCGGAAATGGAACCCGGGTCAGGCCTGGGCACGGCCGGTGCCTTCCCTGCTGGACTGTCACTCCGGCCCTCCTCTCGGCATTTTATACAGGTGATCTCGTTCAGTCCTGCCAGTACCTGTAGGGGCCCAGTGGCGGTGCCTTTATCCCTGATCACAGGAAGGGAATGGCTCAGAGGGCTTGTCCAGGTCGTTTCCTAAGGGGCAGAGTTGGGATTTGAGTCCAGAGTGGGCCCAGAGCAGATGCTATAATCACTGTGCTTTATTCTGAATAATGGAGCCCGAGGGCCCGATCCTTGCACACCTGACCCAGCCCGCCTGTGTCTTGTTGCAGGGGAAGACTTCGCGGTGGTGCAGCAGGAGATCATCATGATGAAGGACTGCAAGCACGCCAACATCGTGGCCTACTTCGGGAGCTATCTCAGGTACCGTGTTCCTGCCCCCTCTGGCCCCGGAGCAGGCCTCGGCGGGCTGTGTGCCGGGCGGCGGCCATCCCTTCCGCGTGGGCTCCCGTCGGGGGTGGTCTGGGCGAGGAGGCCTGGCAGAGGGTCTCGGTGCTGGTGTCCCACGGGCAGAGCCTGGGCCGCTTCCTCTGGCCTCTCGTCTCCACCAGCAGTTGTTTCTAAACGGCAGGAGTGTCTGCTAGACTGTTTCAGGAAAAGCAGCTTTCCTGCTTCCGGCGCTGTGTTGCGTTACCCCTGCGTTCGTGTCCGAGGAGCGGAGGCCGTGGATGGTTGGGTTCCCTCCTGCCCCCAGTCCCAGGTGGACTGTGACTCCCCTTCCCTTGCTCCCGTCTCTGTCCCTGCTCCCGGCGCTGCCTCTGCCCGTGCTTCCAGACAGGCGAGGAACGTTCGCTTAGTATGCAAAGCTCTGGTGTTGTTGGGCAGCTCCGTTCCTGCATGACCTGGTGGCGAGACGCCTGGGAGAGTGGGCGTCGGCCCAGCTTCTCTCCACCGGGACTGAACACACCCCGGCCCCCTCCAGGAAGGCGAGTGGGGAAAGCCCCGGGGGATCTAATGGCCAGAGGGACCTGGAGCCCCCGCGTTCGTAAAGGACAGGGGGCTCTCAGGAGGGAGCCCCAGACAGCAAGAGCGCCCGACGGTCTTGAGCACGCCAAGCTGATGAAGACGAAGCCCTCACAAGAGGATAATGAGGTTCAGGACTCTGGGTGCGAAGGTGGCGGAGAGCAGGGAAGCAGGAACCGTTAGTGCAAAGCACCGGCCAGGGACTCAAGGAGCAGGATGGGAGCTCCGGAGAGGAGCCCTCGGGAGGGGCTCGGGAAGGGGATGCCCTGCGGAGCCTGAGCACAGGGCGCGAGAGGGCCACGCCCCAGAGGCCTCTGGACGAACCCCCGCCCGCTCACCACGGCCACGAGGAGAAACCGCCTCTGCGCGGGCCTCGGCCCAGTTTTGGCGGGCCCAGTGTGTCGGCTTTATAGGACCGTCTCTGCTGAAATGCGCAGGGACGGTCTCGCCTCGGCGTCCGAGGGCTGGGGGCCAGCAGGCCGGCCGTGGGTGCTGTGTGCACGCAGGCCCCGGGTCAGCCTCTGCCCGGCCCACAGAGCTGGAGGGCTCTTCCCTGGCGCCCCTGTGCTGGGGGCCAGCGCAGCTCCGCCCTTTCCTGAAAAGCTGCCCGGGCGCCGGGCAAGGATGCGAAGGGCACGGTTCATCTCCCCATCGGTGCTCGCTGAGGGTCCCCCAGAAGGTGCTCCAGACGCTCTTCGCCACGCAGTCACCACTGGTGCGGGCAGGCGTTTGCTGCTGCCTTGGGAGCCGCGTCCTGCCCGCCAGCCGCCTGCTGAGGCCGTGAGCGACCAAGACAAGACGGGGGCTCGCTCCTTCAGCGTGACTGATTGTGACTGTGTGAGAGGGAGGCTGCCGAGAGAGAGAGAATGAGCACCCGTCCCTGACAGGAAACCAGAAAGGAGTCTGGTCAGTCTAGGCACACTTGGAAAGTTGACCCTTTGCTTGCTCGCTGACAAATAAGCCAAGATGTGCTTTGAGGTCGTGTCACCATGCTGTCAGCACGGTCTTCAGTCCTGTTTCCAGTGTGGGCCTTTCTTCTTGGTGGCGCCTGGGATCGAACCAAGACCTCACCCACGCGAGACAGTGCTCACCCAGGGCACAGCCGCGGCTAACGTGTGTGCTTTGTTAGTGACTTTGACTTTCATGAACTGTGGGGGGCAAACTGGACAGCAGGCCTCAGGGAAGGGGGCACGTTTGACCGAGGAGAATTCTCTCCATCTGGAGTGGCCCCCCGGGCGCGGGGACGGTGTGCAGTTCTGGCCAGAGAGCGAGCCCAGTGCCTGGGGCCCTTGCCTTACGCACGGCCGGCCTGGCTTCCATCCTTCGCCACGTGTGGCCCCCAAGTCCCCCCAGACCATCCCCGAGCGCAGAGCGGGAATAAGCCCTGACAGAGCCAGGTGGGGCCCAAAAAACAAAAGGAAAAAAGTCATTAATTCGCACATAATTTTAAACATGAAAATGTGATCCACTTTTCTCTCTTTCTAGGAGGGATAAACTTTGGATTTGCATGGAGTTTTGTGGAGGTGGTTCTTTACAGGATATTTATCATGGTAAGACAAGTTAGATTTCATAGATAGAAGTCGAGTAGAATTCTTGTTACTTCCCGTGTTAAAGCAATGTTTTGTTATTGTCACTCAGATAATGTAACTGTATTTTAGAGGTGCGGGGGGGACAAGGTCCTTTCTTTATAAGTCAGAAAATCATCCGAAGCTAAATTATTCGCTAACTATAAAGAATGCACATTACATACCATTTCTTCAAAGTTTCAGAATTAGGGGAATTATGCACAAACCTTCTGGCAAATACTAAGTGGACAGACTTCCAGTTGAGGGTTTACTAGTGTCAGTACAAAGACAGTCAACTTCACCCTGTGTGTGAGACGTGTCTGTTGTTCATGAACGCTTTGATACCCGAGCCCGGTTCCTGGTCACCTTTTTATCGGTGTTCGGGGACTGTGAGGGCCGGGCCCCGCCCACCCCAGTGATGGGGAGACTCGCCCTGCCTCCGTCCCTTCCCCTCTCCTCTCCCGGGCCTGCGGGGGGTCTTGGTCAGACTGCAGAGCGCCTCATTCTTTTGCTGGAGATGTGCCTTTTCGACTAATCACTGTCACTGCGTCCCTGTCATCCCGTTGTTCATCGATTTGCTCGAGCGGGCGCCAGTCACGTCTCCATTCGTCCCAGCCCTGAGATTTTAGCAGCCTCTCCTGACTCGTCCTTCCCAACGCTGCCTTATTGGAGGCTCTTTCAGGGTCAGGGGAATGAGGCCCGTTATTGTCACTGTTTTTGGCAGATCGAATACGCCACGGGGAGCTTGCCAGGCTCTGCCGTGCGTCTTTTCTGGTTAATAAGCATAAAATGCCTTTATTATTTTGGGGGGTTCTGCAGCCTGCCAGGAGCCCGTGCCCTGAGTGCGGGTCCCGAGGCTGCGTGTTGCGTGGCCACCCGTGCTGGAAGTGTGGCCGCGCTTCCGAAAGCACGGCATGTGCCTCATCCCCGAATTATTTTTGGTGTCGATCTTATTTTTTTGGAGGAGGCGACTGCTTTATTTTAATTTTTTTAACCGAATCACCATGAGAAACAGTCACAAAGCTGCCCATGGCTGGGCTTCAGTCACACGGTGTTCCAGCACCCGTCCCTTCACCGGTGTGCCCCTCCCACCACCAGCGGTCCCAGTCTCTTCCCCCCATGTCGATTTTAATATAAGAACTGACAAGGGTGTTTTGCTAGTCTTCTTGCTACCTTAGGAATAGGAGTCCAGAGTGAACAAAGTGGGCTTTTCGTTGGCCTTTTGAAGATTGGCAAATGTTGGTTGGAAAGAAGAGGGGAGGGCCGGGCTGCAGGGCGTTTGCTGCCTGCGGCCGCGCCAGGGGATCCCTGAGCACCACCAGGAGCAACAGCCGTGCCGAGCCAGGAGCAAGCCCTGAGCATCGCCAGGCGTGACCCAAAAACAAAAAGTAAAGGAAAAAGTGCGTGCCAGGAGATGAAGCCCCGGTGGGTGGCTCCCCGGGTCAGGTGAGGTGGGGGTCTGCGGGGCCGAGTGGGGCAGAGGCCAGGCCTGGGCGCAGGGCAGCGGTCCCTCTGCCTGACCTGACCCTGGTGGCCTGCCCGGCCCTGCCGTGTGCGGACACACTGTGATCACGAAGTGCTGTGACAGTGAGGGGATAGTCGGCCTGGCTCTGCACTGCGGGCAGGCGCAGTATTCCTGGAAGCTTGTCGTTTTCTGAATATTATTAATGAATCACGCTTTCCCAGTGTTTTCATCTTAGTTTGGACGAGTCTGCTTTCTGTCAGGTGGCTTTCCTTTCTTCCCGCCTGGCTGTCTCCACAAATTCTGCTGTTACTCGCAGACCCACTCACGTTCCTGCCTGTCTCGGCCTCTGCTTCCGGTTGCGGCTGAGGGGCCCCGTGCACAGGCCTGTCCTGGGGAAGCCAGCGGCCACAGAGACGCCCACCGGTGTCCTCCTGTCTGTCGGTGACTTCTGACTCTCTAGCTGGTCTCTCTGTGACCCCTGACCCTCTGCAACTGGTCTGTCTGTGACCCCTGACCCCCTGTAGCTGGTCTCTGTGACCCCTCTGAGGTGGTCTTCGCTCCTCTTTGAAGTTGTCGCTGGTGTTCCGGGACCCACGTGTGGGCTCGCACTTGGACTCTCCCTGTTCTTCCCGTGTGGGCCACGGGCAGCTCTCCACTGGGTGCTGTCCCCCTTCACCCTGGGCTTTCCTTCCAGGTCTCAGCAGGTGGCCACCAAGGCCTCCTCAGAGCCAGGCCTCCTCCGTCCTCCCCCTGGGCCAGACTCAGTGCTCGGACTCTGCAGCTCTGATTAATGTTTGCCCGGTTTTAAATTCTGGTAGACATAATTTTCCTGGGTGCAAATTGTTATTCTGTTTCACAGCCTGTATCCTTTCTGTCTTAGTCCTGTCGGTTTTGTTCCTTCCTTTGCGTCATTAGTTTTTAGATGACACATTTTAGTCTTTCTCAGATTATTTAGTGGTTCTGCCTCATAGATCCGTCTTCGTTGTCCGACTTGGCCAGAGGGTGCTGTAGTTGCCGGAGTACGTGGTCACGGTTGTTCCTGTTCTGTTTAAACCAACAATGGAAGTAAAACAGGATCTGAATTCTGAACGTGCAGGGCTGGTTTCTGCGTCCGCATCAGCAGCGGGATTAGTGGCAGGAAACGGTGTTTGGCGATGCTGTGGGTGGTCTCAGACATGCTGCTGCATTGCCGTGCCTCCCTGGGAGCTTCCCGACTGCTTCCCCAGACCCCCTCCATGGTCACGCTGTTCCGGGGGGCGGCTCTGGTGCCCTGTGCCGTGTATGCCTCAGCCCACAGCCCAGACCTCCTGCCTTCTCTTCCTCCCTCGTCCTGTCCCCTGCTGTGGGAAGGCGTGTGGGGCCGAGGGTTACTTCATATGATGAAGAGAAATTCCTCGCAGGAAAGAGGGTGCTGTAGCATATAACACAGTGCCATGCCCCACCATAGGCAGTCAATAAATGCAAAATTAGTAAAATTAAAAGAAAGAGAAATTCTTTTCTAGTAACTCATTCTTTGAGGCTTTGTTTTAATTTTCACAGGTATGTACAAACTTGATCTGGCATACAAAAATTGTAGAGAATGTTCCTTTTTAAAATTGTTACCGTCTTTTTTTAATTTACCCCTTCTTACTGTCACTGTCCTCCCGTTGCTCATCAATTTGCTCGAGCGGGCCCAGTAACGTCTCCGTCGTGAGACTTGTTACTGTTTTTGGCATATCGAATACGCCATGGGGAGCTTGCCAGGCTCTCCGAGAGGGGCGGAGGAATCGAACCTGGGCCGGCCTTTCCAAGGGGTCATAAAATGGTGTTTCTGTTTCCTTTTCTGCCCTTAATCCGTTCATTCTTCTGTATTATTTTCAAATCTTGAACCCTTAGAAGGGGGCAGGGGGCAGTCATCATGGTCACAGCAGCCGTCTCAGAGCTTAGCAGCTGCCACAGCAGGATCTCCTTGTCAGCCCTGGGGTCAGGAATCAGAGACCGGGTCAGCGGCCCACCTGTCCGCGCCCCTCGCGAGCTTGTGCTGCCGTCTTCTGAGGACCCTGAGGAGCGTCCACTTGGTGGCTGGCGGCAGAGGCTTCGTTCCTGGTGGCTGTGGGCAGGGACGGCCGTGGCTGTGTGTGTGAGAACTCTGTCCAACGGCCACGGCCTGAGACGATGCGATGGCCTGTGACCCCAAGCCTGGAAGCAGCTTCTTTCGTGGGGCAAGAGGGGGCACCTCCCGCCCCCGGGGCCTGTTCCCTGGCAGAGTCTGAGCAGGGCTGGTGCTTGTCTGGCGAACTTCGCTCCGAAGAACGTTAGACCCTGAGCTTAACGGCGCCATGGGTCCCCCCTTCCCACTGAACATTTTTCTGCGTTTACCCTTGTCCTTTCCACTTGCCACTGATCTCGCGGATGGCCAGTGCGTCCTGATTTGTTTCCCGACTGGACCCCTTCAGCTCCAGCACCGGGTTGTTCCACTCGGGACTCGGGGCCCTTTGCTCCGTGGCTGAGTCTGAAGTCTGGCCGCGTGGCGGGGACGCCTGTGGCAGCTGCTCGAGGCAGAGAGGGTCCCAGGCCAGCCCCCCGTCCTCACGCTTGTCCGCCTGCTCTGGCTGAGGCCTCGGCCGTTGGAGGCCTGGCTGGCTGTGGCTGGGCCGGCCTTGTCTTTCCGCGCCCGGGGAGGTGGAGCCCAAGCCCCTCGCCTGCCAGCGTTGGCCTTCCCCGAGAGACCGTTAGAACGTGTTGCTTTTTTAAAATACCGTTGTTGGACAGTGTTCACAAACCTGACCGGACTTGGTTTTTTAACATGAAGTATATTCACGATAGGGGAAAGGGCAAGTTTCAGGGCAGGAATAGGATTTTCTGTGTGTGTGTGTGTGTGTGTGTGTGTGTGTGTGTGTGTGTGTGAACTCTGTCCAACGCCTCTGAAAATTCACCCGGTAGACTATGGGCCAGACTCTTGCTAACTGCTCTTAATTGCATCCCCATGGGGCTCGGAAGAGGCCTCTACTTTGTTTTTTAATTAAGAGACCATGATTTTACAAAGTCGTTCATAATACATTTGTCTCACCTTCCAGCCTTGGCAGGCATAAAGCAAGTTTATTATTTCATATCACTTGCGCCAGCAAAACTTGAAGGAGTGGCAGATGGAATTCCCGGGAAGGAAGGCGATAGAAGTCTGTTTGTGACAGTCACTGTGTGCCCTTAACCTTTCCTAGCCCCGGCCGGGCGTGCCAGGCCCAGTGCCCCAGTGCGGCTTCCTCCTGTCCTGTAAAGAACCTTTTGACACTTCTGAGAGAACTGCTTTCGTGGCTGCGAGTTCCCTGGACCGTTGCCTGCCCCCGAGGCTCTGTCTGGTCCCTCAGACAGAGGGCCGGGTGCTCGTGGTGAGGTGCTCAGTCCACACTGTGTCCGTCCCCACTCCTGGCTTGGAGAGTCCCAGTTGATGAACCTGCTGTGAATCTTTGTGGCCGTCCTTCCTGTGTCAGCTCCTTTCCCGATCGTGCTACTTTCCGTTCTCTGTCTCTTCTTTGGCTTTTGT